AATGGAACGACTTGAGAAATCTTGTTCATGACCAAGAAGGTCAGTTCTGCCTGATAATCACTGATTCGTGATTGAATCCTTGCTCGAGTCATCTGGCGAAGCTGCGATTGCATTTGATTGGGACCACATAACGATATGTCTACCCTTTGTGTGGGCAGCCCGAGCCGCTGACACGCTTCGTTCGTCATAAGATGTGCCTGGGAGCAGGAGTCCAACAAGACTCTGCACTGTTGCATGTTTCCAGTTCGATCCTGGATGTTTACGATTGTTGTAGGCAAAACCGTCGGACTCATCCTCGCTGACAGACATATTAAATTGATGTGAATTGGTTGCCATGGTTTGTCTACGTTCGCATGGAGGAGAGTATGATGTCGTTTACTGCACAGCATGCAGCTGCCAGATCGACATTCCTCCGCGGAGTGTGTGCTACGCAGACAGTTGGAACAGATTTTTTTCTCTCTCGCGAGCTTTTCTCTCTCAGGAACTGACATCGATAAAAATTTTCTGCAGTTCCGAGGTGTGTGAAATCCGTTGCAGAGATTGCACGGGCTTTGAGGTTGTGTGACGGAGGTTTGGTTTGTAGTCAGACTGCGTTTACTGTCTTGGTTCTGAACGGATAGGTTGTAGGGCGTGGTGGATTTTGGTAGATAGATCTGGTGGCTTCTAATAGTTTACAGTGATCGTGTAGGAAGTCGAACAGATCTCCGACGCTTGGAAAAGGTGTGTGAGCTATCCTTTCCTTCCATCTAAACTCTGTCTCGGGGTCCAGTTTGGAGGTGAGCAAGTATAACAGCAGAGTATCAGCGGTTGGTTGTTTGAGGGCTTGCAGATCCTTATAATGGGCTTCGCTTTGATTTAAGTAGGCTCGTATTTCTTGGTATGATGGCCGTTGCAAGGGGGACGCGTCAAATAGTGCCTTCAAATGGTTGTTCATGGCTGATTATACCATTTTTCCAAAAGTTCCCATGCCACAGAATAGTTGCTAGCGGTGTTTGCTAGGGATGCTATCGAGTCGGCCGCTTCCTGCGTTAAACACGATCGTAGATACATCAGTCGCGTACAGTCATCAAGTCGGACATTTTCGTGTATCGTGCACCGGAATTGATCCGCGAATCCGGGACAATCTTCGTCCGCTCCTGAAAAGGTAGCTGCATTTTCAGTATAGCAATCTCCGGATACCCTAGCTCTGAGTGCGACGTGCACGGTACGATGGGCGTATTCCTGTCTATTGCGTCTCTGCTCCGTTCCTTAGCTTGCTCAATTATATCTGTGGCGCGTCTTTTACAGTCTAAGAACTCCTTTTTAATGTCCAGTCATTCCTGTATTGTCTGTCCCTCGTTTATTTCGTCTAAGTCGCATTGATGCTTGCCATGGTGGCTTGGCGCACGCTAGCTCTGATAATTTGCGTAGGTTCGGCGTCCGAGGTGCTTCGCGATTACCAAGTGTGCGACTTACCTTAGTCGTGATAGGCTTGCCTCGGCTGTTCGTGAACACCGGTTACGGTGCAACGGGATGTTGCGTCGTGTACCTTCTGGTGAAGGTGATTCCTTCCCAGTGATGACACTCTGTAGATTGTAGCTACCTGATTCTGATTTCCTCCGGACTGATGCTTCCTCCAACGGCACCAAATCCGGCTCGAAGGACCATATGTTGCGACGCACAACTTACTAACAACCAGTTGGATGGCAACTGATCGGTTGTTTATCGCGAGCCTTGAACGTTATTAGCATCCGAGGTGGAGGAGTAATAAAGGTAAAGAGCGAGGTTTAGTTCACCTTATTCTGCTATATTCCGCTATGTTCAATATATTCCGCGTGCTACTCTGAATACACTGTCCGTAAGTGTACTGATTATCCTGTTAGAGATACTGTTCACTGGTACGTGTTAACTCTTCGAATCCTGCTGCAAAAGTGAGTCTTGGGGCTGTTGCTGTTGTAGCCGAAGGTTCGTCGTGGGGGTGTCCCAGGTCTGTTCCTACCTGGTCCTTGGGTAAAGCCGTATGTTTCTGAATGGGCTGGCTGCCTTAGTAACGGTTCGAGCGGGTGACCTTACACTTGGGGAAACCCGCGTGTCCCGCCTTCCTGAGATGTCGCATAAAAATATAGATATTTTATGATAGGTCCTAAAGTACCTGGATCGTACAATAGGGTCACTGTTTATGATGGGTCCACATTACAGTACCCTTGACGGTCGTCCTGCCCGAGGCTCGCGTCTGGTGGTCATACCGTAGCGGTAATTACCAGGCGACCCCTCCAAATCTCGAACACCAAGAAGAGAGAAGAAACGTAATAAAAACTAAAACCACCCATACTCTGGATGACCCAGAATGTGGGGAGTCATTAGCACTTGCCCTCTTCTGTGGCAGTTTGCTGAGCCTTTTCCGAGTTTTTCTTTCTCTCCCTTTCCGCTCGCTCCTTCGCGAGCATAACTCGCTCGCAGAAGAGGCGGGCGGCCTCGTATTCCTGCGACCCCCTCAACATCGCTTCTACAATCGCGGGGTGGATCAACGCTTCTCCTATGGCGTGCCGCAGAGTGTAGCGGGGCAGCTCCTCCTAGGGCGTGCCGCAGAGTGTAGCGGGGCAGCTCCCACGCCGAACAGAGCTCCAGGGTGTGCTGCGCTGTGTCCCTGCCCTCTCCGCAGTGGTGGCAGATGTCTGTCGTCTCTCGTCTGATTTTCTTCAGGAACTCGCCGAACACGCCATGCCTCCCAGTTTGGGAGGACCTCCTCTACGCCTCGATGTTCGCCTCCCTCGTTGATCAGCTTGGATCGCCACAGGTCCCACGTGTCCTCCTCAGCGGTTCCTAGGTCGTTTGGAGCCCCCTTATTCGATTAGATCTTCTCCCGGATGCCATACTCTCCGGTGGGTGTATCTCCCTTTGAGCGCCAGCGCCCGGAGCTCCCAC